TTTCTTCAACCCCTTTCCCCCTCCAGCAACCGAGCCCGACAGCAAATCCAAACTCCCGACCGATTGCATATTAGCCCCTGTCGTCTGATGCATTCCCGGGAAGCCCCCAGAGACGGGCCCTTCCTGCCAAACCTGATTAACTTTCCCACCCAAGCTGAAATTGTCGAGTCTCAAGGTGGCGAAAATGACCATTTCGCCCTCCGAGTAAGTGGCGGACAGATCCGAAACGGGGAAGCCGAGGTTCCCTTCCTGGAGACGGGTCTGGTAACTGGTGACAGGGGAGGTGTAGGCCCTCATGCTGCCGTCGGGCCTTTGGTGGGCCACGAGGGCTTGGGCCCCGACCATGCCCTGGCCCGTTGGGTTGAGGGCCCACGCTATCCACCTGGAGGGGGAGATGCCCGTGTGGCGGTACGCAATATTTAGGGTTCTTGCTGAGGTGTCGTAATTCCAGTGGAGGTGTGAGTTGAGGATCGGGAGGTCGATGCACGTGCTGAAGATTTGGTTGCTTGGGAAGGTGTGTGTGGAGCATGATGATTGGGCTGTGGAGGCTGTGTAGAGGGAGAAAATGATAAAGATGATTAAAACAGGCTTCAACATTTTATTTTTATTTTTTTGAATTTTTTCAAGAAAAGATGGATTATGGGAGAGTTTTTAACTTCAAACAGGTGGAGGGAATTTGAGGGAGGTTTTTATAAATAAATTGGGGTGAAATGATGATATGTAGAGAGATGTGGGACACGGAGTAGTTACAGGTTGGTGAAGGGAGGAGAATTGTTGGCTTCCTTTTGTATTTGGCACCTGGCAAAGTGTTATTGAATTGGATCCTCTGTTTTATAGGTTTCAACAACTGAACTAACAACTCTTTTCTAATAAGCTTGTGTGGAAAAATTTTAAATTGTATGAAAAATATGTTATGTTNTTCCTTCGGCCGTTGATTGAGATGAGCAGCATGTGTGGAGTTGGTAAGTAGGTTTTGGTTCATGACCAATTCATGTTTCCCTGCTTGAAATAACATTTTCATAAATTCATTTTGTTTTGCCCCTTTTTGAGTAATAAATCATTGACATTGTGAAAATATATGTCATGAAGCTAACATGACATGTAAATATCAGTATATGAGTATTATTGTGGTGGAGCTAGCTAGTGTGATCATCTCATCAATTTTCTATATATTTTTTGGAACAGTAAAACTACGATTAAGTAGGCTTATCGGTTAAAAAGGTGGTCCTTTTCAATCGATATACATATTTTTTAATTGAAATGTCATACTTTAAAAGGCATCATAAATAAAAGTATGAATTTTCATAACAAAAATTTACATTTTTATTACTAATGTATGACAGATCGATCCGCTAACTGTTAGGCTGCTTCAGAACTTGTATGGTTGAAAACTTACTTGAGGAGAGTTTAAAAATCATGATTGTATTTTTCCATTTAAGGAAAATAAATATGATCATGTGAATGTTATGCTCTTTTGACTGGATTAAGATAGCTAGTAAAATATATATTTTGATTTGATAAAAAATAGGACAGACTACAGGTTAAATCGCCTATTTTCAATTGTTGTTTTAGAAAAGAATTTATATTACATTTATAAGTGCCCAGGATTGTGCCTTGAATTCTCAAGGTACCTAAGAAATAGCATGCAAGTGCTAAAGTACTTTGTCCTTGGTCAAAAGTAAAAGACTTGTGACTTGTAAGCACGCTACAAATGAAACTGAAGGGCTAATTGATGCTTAAATTAACCAAAAATAAATACAACAATCAAACAGAAAACATGGTTTACAAAGTTATATGTGGAGTT